GTTGCTAGAAAGCTCATGACTTCTTCCCGTGTGTTGATCGCCATTTTATTTTGCTTCGGCCACTCCCACTTTCGATGGAAATATTGAAATTTAGAATCTATTGCATTGCTAAAGCATGTGCTATCACGGATATATAGAGGAGATACGGAATACGTACGTGTACAGACAGACAGACAGACAGACAGACAGACAAACAAACAAACAAACAAACGCTGCTCGTCTTAGTGGGGCTCGCCCATGCTCGCCCCAATAATTTTTAGTTGAAGAAGAAACTCTACTGCTTCATTATTGCCAGCTGTGACTGCCTCAAGAAGAGCTAATTCAAAAGTGAAGTTCATGTTTTCATCTTTTTGAAGGACAGAATAATCATTAATGTATAAACTAAATATACCAATGAGATACATAAACTGAAGCTTTCCTTCTGTATATTCTATTAAACTATCAGCTGAAAGATTAAGAATGTCTAACTTGATCACAACAGATCCTTCCTCAATAGTGATGTATTTCATTATTGACTGTCTGAGTTCTTTTGGAAGTAATCTTTTTACGAGAATATATAATCCATTAATTTTAACATCATTCCAAGGATTTTGAAGTTCAATACATATTAATGGCATATTCTCCAAACATCTTCTGTAAGGCCCATAAACTTTACGTAGCTTTTGTTTAAGTTCTATAATGGGCACTGATGAACGAAATGCATTAGCTTTTAATGAATGAGTATTCAGTTTATCGAGTAGATCTTTTTCATCACTTATAAACTCATTACACATAGCAACTACCAGACAGGAATCAATAAAATCATAATTATGATAGATCTTTTTGAAAATAATGATCTAAATCACTATCTAATGTACCATGCTCCCAGTGAAGATAGCTCTCTATCCAATTGGACATCTCAATGCATATTTGTAAATTTTTGTTAACTTTTGTACGAAAAGCTGATTTTACTTCTCTCATGATATGGGAAAAGTTCACTTGCAATTCATCTAAAGTGTCTTGAACTGTTTGATCTTCTTTTGGAAAAAAAATAATTTCTATATCTCCTAAAAACACCAGATGCACGTCAATAAAATAAGCTAATCATGCATTACTGTACAGTCCAAAATTTTGTGGGCTATAAATTTCACGGATTTGTAATTCTATGAAATTTGTGAAATTTATATCCCTTGAGAAATTTGTGCTGCATCAGTGGTATTTCATGTTACTTACCATCTGATTTTGTTAGTGTGCTTGGTAACGATGATGACTTTATAGAAGCAGCATCACTCTCTAGATTATTCTTAATATCTTGAGCTAATTTGTTCTGATTTATACCAGTCAGTGCATAAATGACATCTCTCCATGTGGCCATAGGATTGACTGAAAACCATTTTAAATATAGCGCTAACTTTCTGTCTTCAATTTTAACATGTTCTTGTTCAATTTTTAAGATTTCATGCTCCGTCATTCCAACCAAACATAAACCAAATGGCTTCCAATCAACAAGGGATTCAAGCCATTTTATTAATAACGATATTTCAGGCTGAGCATCAATCATAGGACCAGGATTACGTTCGATATCTCCTGATAAGAGGAGTATACGCAGACAAATAATCAAATAGTAAATCAAGTTAAAACTGCTGCCGAGTACTGACTGCAGATCAGTAACACCGGAAGTAGCTCTATACTGCAGATCTACTTGGTAGAAGTTACCTAACAATATGAATACCAATATAAGTAAAGGGGCACTAAATTGTTGTTTACTCAGTGTTGGAGCAAAAAAGAGGGTGAGGAGAAAGGCAAAACGAGACAATGGCAGAGCTACTGGCATCAGTTTAGGTGTCTTCTCTTGTGATATACCTAACTTGCTTTTTACAGCTTTGCCATTAGTAGAGAGAGCTTGACAATGAATGGTAGCTCCACAGTCCAACGCTCACTCTCCATTGACAGACATCAATCATCTTGACTTATTCTTGTAAATAAAGGTAGAGCTATTAGCTATTATGATATGAAATGTATGAATATGATGTGAATCTTGGAATTTTCCCTAGTCTCAAAACAGGAAGTGGACACATATTAATAACCCAATAGAGAAAAGTATCATAAGCATAATAGCAGAAAATAATAGCAGCATAATAAAATAGGCATAGATCTACATGCAAAAATAAAACATTAGCATTCAATTTTATACTTCTGTAGTTTTAATGCTCTGAAGACCAACTTCATTACTTTTATCTTCAATAGGTAGTAATACAGCTTTATTATCTTCATCGCAAGGTGATAAATCTTTAATACTTCTTTCTTTATCGCACTGTATGATTTTTACACTATTTAATTCAATTTCATTACTTTTATCCGTTTCGCCTGAATCTATCTCGGGTAAACGTACCATCTTTTCTAGCTTCTTCATTCTCCTTTTAACACTCCCTCTACAGCAAAGTCTTTTCAATTCGTCAATGCAAAGTATCAAAACCTCAAAAAATGTAATGATACTCACTCCAATAAACAGACCAAGCTGACCACCAATCTCTCCTAACAGAGCTTCAATACCATAAGTGTATTGAGTGATGGTGGTGGTTGTATGAAGATCACCCACAAAAACATTTACTGATAAAAAGTTCTCTCTGATTTCGTTGACGGACATATTCGTTTTGTTCACAAGTGTATCAAGATAGAATCCATTAGGAAAACTTGAATAACTAGAAGTTTGTTCATAATATTCAAAGTGACACGGACTTGGACAATCAGCTTCTTCTGGATTAAACTCATAGTGTTCTTTCAATAGGCAGCATGCTTTACTGAAAGTACAATTAGGAGTGGATGCATAAGGACCAGTTGATGGACGGCCAATAACACAATTACACTTACTACTCTGAGCTATATTCTCAGCAATAGCGTTTTCTCTACAGGCTAATTGAGAATAGTCATACTTGTCACTTGGAAAGAAAGGAAGATTCATTTCATGAATACACTGAGCTTCATTGGTATCGTCTTCAACTGCCATTTTGCGAACTCCAACATCAATGGCATGACCAGGTGGTACAGAAATACCATACAGGTTAGGCCTTGCAATATCTCTGCCATTATGAATGACAAGCTTAACTCCTGACTTTCCATTGAATGATGGCCTTTTCTCTTGCTGTATATTCAGTATTAGCTTCAGCCCATATCTTATACCAGTGCTGTGAATACGATTATCGCTACCATTGAATGTGAAGCAGATCCCAGCTGACGTTAGGATCGGCTTAAAAGCATCTTTGCAAGGTTTGACTTCACTATTAGGTCCTTCAATAAAGCCACAGTAATGTATCAACTCATCAATAGTCTTGCTAGGATTCTGAATATTCCATATTGTAGCATTGAGGATATCTTCACTCGACGAACGCACGACATTATCGCATAATTGAAGCACATAGCTATCATTGAGACCACTTAGGTGAAAGTTCTCATCAGCATTGTAGAGGTAGTTCATCAGTTGGTAAGTGCTTCTCAAAAGAAAATTAGAACTGTTTCTTTCCAGGTTCAGATTGCAAAAAGTGACAGCAGGGAATGGTATGCCTCGTTCAGTGTTAGATACAATAGTGATGGTAGATGCTGTTGGCTTGTCTATGAAACGCTTTATGCTAAAGCTGAGCATTACCGTACAGACTATCAAAGATCCGATGAATATAATGGCCCAAGTCAGCCTCCTCAGATTTGACTTGCCCCTAAAGATTTTATTTATCCCAGCGATAGTATTGTCATCTATAAAGTCACTCAAGTAGGGGTCGTTTAGATGACATCTTCCTTTTCCTTTCTCATCATTTTCAGAGTCGGCTGCCTTCAGTGAGTTCAGTGGCTCGCCTGCTTTGCCTTTGTTCATAATGGCGAATTGGCGATCTGAGCCGATCACGGAGCCGATCTCCTACATTTATCTCCTACATCCTCAATTTTCCAAGAAGTGAACACACCCATAGAATTATTAGCTCTAAGTTTATTCATAAATAAGCCAAGCTAGCCTGGCAAATTAGTCAGTATGACACCTCAAGGTGCTAATAGCATAAGAATTCCAAACATAGATCACTTGATGAATTTTAAGATCTACATCTTGCTTTTCTCAATGATAGATTTTATAAAAATTAAAAAAGACATGACATTATAACATAGAACATAGTATAAACAAAATTAATGATAAAATTATGAGTTGTTTATGTTACACTTTGTTGTCAATGTCTTCTTCGACATCAGTTCCTTCGATCTCTGGAAGTTCAATTGCATTCTCAATGTCTTGCATTTTCTCGCGCATTTTCTTTGTGCAGAACAACCTTTTTAGTTCATCAAGAAAGAGGACCACTACTTCCACTATTGATATTATACTAATCCCAAGGAATAGGCCCATTTGACCACCAATCTCACCAAGTAGTTCTGCTACACCAAATGTGTACTTAGTGATGGTAGTAGTTAGCTGAAGGTCATCGACAAAAACGTTTATCGATAGAAAGTTATCTTTGATGTAGTCAACAGACATGTTGGTTTCCTCAACAAGATAATTTAGATAGCGTCCATTAGGAAAACTCGAATAGCTTGCAGTGTGTTCGTAGTATGGAAAGTAGCATGGTAATGGACAGGCTAGCTCTGGGTTGAAGGTTTGATATTGTTCAAGGACACAGCATCCTTTATCAAATGTACAGTGAGGAGTGGATGAATAGGGGCCACTGGATGGCCTGTCAGGGTGAATGGAACAATCACAACTGGTCGCTAGGTTCTCGACTATAGCATTCTGTCTGCAGGCAAATTGTGAATATCTGTACTCAGAAAAGAAAGGAAGCTCCTTGCTATCAATGCAATCAGCTTCATTGGTCTCATCTTTACTTGCTTTTCTTCGTACTCCAACATCAACAGCATGAGCAGGGGCTACATCAATGCCATAAAGGTTAGGCCTTGCAATATCTCTACCATCATGGACAATAAGCTTAACTCCCGACTTGCCATTGAACGATGGTCTTTCCTCTTGTTGTATATTCAGTATTAGCTTCAGACCATATCTTACACCAGTGCTGTGAATACGATTGTTGCTACCATTGAATGTGTAGCAGATTCCAGCTGATGTTAGGACTGGTTTAAAAGCATCCTTGCACGGTATGACAGCGCTGTTGATTCCACTGACAAACCCGCAAAAGTGAATTAACTTATCCAGAGTTTCTTGAGGATGCTGTGAATTCCATAGCGTGGTGTTGCGAAATGATGCAGGGAATGAATCTGAGATTGCATTACAACTATTGAGAAGAAAGGAAGAGTTCAGACCAGTTAAGTGAAAGTTCTCGTCAGGGTTGAATATATGGTTCATCAAGAGGTACCCAGTATCAGCGACCATATCTGACTCATTTCTCTCCAAATTAAGATTGCATATAGTGACGCTTGGGAAAGAGACTCCTTCATCGTCTTGAGTAATGACGGTGATGGTGGATGCTGTGGGTTTCTCCAAAAAAGTTTGGAAGCTAATGCTGATCAACGTGATGCAGGCGACAATGGATCCGATGAATATGAGTGCCCATAGTAGCCTCCTTACTTTGGAGCGACCTCGAAAGATGTGGTTGATTCCACCAATGGTGTTGTCATCAAGAAACTCTTTGAGATAGCGGTCATGGAGATGACACTTGACTGTTTTTTCCTCGGAACTCTTGCTGTGGCTATCTTCAGCCATGATATAATTATTACTGATTGCTTATTAATGATAAACTGATAGCTGCTCGAAGCAAATGGCTCCTTTTATCACAAAGTAGCCAACAACCCCCATGCTATGCATAACTACATTAGGATAATCACTCAAGCGTAATAGACTAGTAGTATTTGACGCAACGCTCAAAAATGATCAGCATATCCTGTGATATCACACAATCTTAATCATTTTCTTTTGTTAAGCTAATTTGATACTCTAGTAGTATTCGTGCGTGTGTGTGTGCATGTGTCTGGCTTTAATTTGTTTTGAGACATGACATCTAAATACCGGCCAGACACTGATCTAATGCTATGCTCTTTCAAGAGGAAGTTACAAAAAAGGAGCAGAAGGCAGGGATGATATCAACAGAGATGTGTGTATGTTTAACATGGCTAGACATTATGATAAAATATCTTTTATCTTCTTTTCAACTTAAAATGATTTCTCTTCTGATATTTAAGAAACAGTTCATTCACAAGCATTAACTATAAACAGACACACTGCATTCACAATTCACATTATTTTAATACAAGAGACCTAAAGAAATATATAACCCAATCTTTGTTTTGTCACATGCACTACTTGTGTATACACCTGCTGTTTGCATTCCACAATACTTCAGATCATTGGCTCAAAGCATTGTAGCACTAATTATGTGGTTAACAAAAAAAGACTGCATATCTACGGTATCTATATTGTATACACATGCTATTATAAAGAACACTAAGCATGATACAATATCAGCGTTATACCTTTGATGTTCACCACATAGAGTACATTCTGGTATTATAAGATGGTTTGTATTAGGGACACTGCCTGTAATTTCAATGATAAAATTTGAAAATTTAAAAATCTTAAGTGTCTCATAATTGGTGCATGTACTCTACTCATCCAGTTGACATAAGTACATACCATCCTGATTACATTACTCTATATATGACATAATTTAATATGAGCCTTACTACGTCACAAAAGCTAGACATGCACATCTGGCATGAGCTAAAATTATGTCACAGCTGTACAGAGTGACACAGACCACCACCCAAGCATTAAAATAACAAAATGGAGCTATTATGTAAAATATTAGGGAAAAATTGAGTGCATTAAAATTATAATATCAAGAGGGGATGCAAGCTTTATTATATGTGTGTGTGTGCGTGAAGAATAGGGTAATGTAATTGAGGAGCCCAGTCTTAGCTTTTTAAAGCTTATTATAAATTAGTCTTAGTTCTCTGTTTGATCCTCTTCTACTTCAGGAAGAGTGATTCTGTTCTCCAGATTGTTTATTTTCTCCTCCGGTATGATCTGTAATTTAAAGCAGAGCCTCTTGAGTTCATCCACACAAAGTACTAGCACTTCAAAGAATGTAATGATACTCACTCCAATGAATAGACCAAGCTGACCACCAATCTCTCCCAGCAGAGCTTCCGGGCCATACGTGTATTGAGTGATAGTGGTAGTTAGCTGGATATCGTCAAGAAAAACATTTACCGATAGGAAATTGCTTTTGATATAATCAGCCGACTTGTTCAAGGTGTTCACAAGTCTATCAAGATAGCGTCCATTAGGAAAACTTGAATAGCTCGCAGTCCATTCATAATATGAGAAGTAACATGGTAATGGACACTCTTCAGAGGATGATTGAGGATGAAAGGTATTGTATTCATGGAGCAGACAGCAGGCATTACTCATAGTGCAGTTAGGAGTGGATGAGTAGGCACCTGTGGATGGTCTGTCTGGATGGATGACACAGTTGCAACTGCTTCTTTTTGCTATACGCTCCATGATAGCGTTTTCTCTACAGGCAAATTGAGAATAGTCAAATTTGTCTTTCGGAAAGAAAGGAAGATCCATGTCATCAATGCAACCAGCTTCACTTGTCTCATCTTTAGTTGCCTTTCTGCGAACTCCAACATCAATAGCACGACCAGGTGGTACAGAAATACCATACAGGTTAGGCCTTGCAATATCGCCTCCATTATAAATGACAAGCTTAATTCCTGACTTGCCATTGAACGATGGCCGTTTCTCTTGTTATATATTCAATACTAGCTTTAGACCATATCTTATACCAGTGCTATGAATACCGTGATCACTACCATTGAGTGTGAAGTAGATCCCAGCTGATGTTAGGACTGGTTTAAAAGCATCTTTGCAAGGTTCGACTTCACCGTTAACTCCTTCAATAAAGCCACAGTAATGTATCAACTCATCAATAGTCTTGCTAGGATTCTGGATATTCCATATTGTGGCATTGAGGATTTCACTGAGAGCATCACCCACGAGAGCTTGACACTGCTTTATGACAGACGATGAGTTAGATCCAGTCAAGTGAAAATTCTTGTCAGCATTGAAGAGATAGTTCATGAGGTGGTAGGTATTGCGTATAACTAAATCGGACACATTATACTCCAAATTATGATTGCAGATGGTGACAGCAGGGAACTCTACTCCACTCTTTGTGTTCTCAGTCACAACAGTGATAGTGGAAGAGGTTGGCTTATTGATGAAGCGTCTGAAGCTAATGCTGATCAGTGTGATACAAGCAATCATCGATCCAATGAAGATGAGAGCCCATACTAGCCTCTTTATTTTAGATCGGCCCTAAAGAT